AAAGCACTTTCACATTTACTTGGTTCTTAGAACCTCATTTTTGGGGGATTCCAAAATCAACAAATACGAAATATGTGTAATAGTTTCTATATAATACGTTAGTTACCCTTATAAGTAAAATATTTTCTTATATTTTAACTCACATTTGAAGAAATTACAGTTCAAAAAATTACAGCTCAGTGATTCATCTAACACACTGGTACTCCCTCTGCTTACAACTCTACAACCTCTCCTCACCTGCTCATCTCTTAAGACACAGCTCAGGCCTTCCTGTACTCCCAGAGCAAGAACGTTAAGGCTGTTTCAATGTTATCCTAATGTTTTCACACCAGTCTTTCAGACCAGTAGAAGAACCCAGGTCGCTGGACGCCTACTCTGTAGTTTTTCCCACCGAAAACTATTTTCTTTGTTAATGTTACCCTTATTAATGCCCATTAATGATCCAGCATTTTATAAAGGCAACAGGAGAAACATTTTATGGGCAGCCAGCACTGCGTTTAAGACTGTACACCAAAACATCCCTAGATTTCCTTAACAATCAAGAATTTAAGGAATGTCTCTAAATCCTCTCAAAATATCTAGATACTACCTCTTGTGGTAATGACATCCAAAGTTGCCACAGCAAAGAAGTAAAACAACATTTCATAAACTCTAAATTAAACGATTACAAGTTTTCAAAGCTGCCTCCTAATATCCCGGAAGTGTTTAGGGTTAACAATCAAAAGACCAGGGCCTTAGTCCCAATTGTACCACATATTGGCCAACTTGGGAAAGTCACTTAACCTCCCTGAATCAAATTTCCTCTTTGATAAAACTGGATAATGCCACCCACCTTTCAGAACTGTTAAGAAAATTAAATCAAAGAATGATTGCAAATCACCTGGCCTGGAACATAACAGTCAAAAAATGGTAACCCCTTTTATAATTATTTTCGCGTACAACATCATTCTTGTTTTCAGAACCATGTCCCACAACACTCAACATGTTCTTCCTAGGACTTTGTAGCCAGCCAGTAACTACAATAAATGCCTTCAAGGAAGTTATCTCCATGACTTCTGGATCCCCTTCCTGGGTCACAACTCAGCCTCTAAATATAATTTAGACTATCTCACTCTCTAACATCTAACTCTCACTCTCTAACATCTACATTGAAGCTAAGAAAGTAGTTTGCATGGTCTGTATCTACTCAGTCCATGTACCCATGAATTTTCAATATGACTAACAGGCAATTCATAAGCCATAATTTTTTTTAACATCTTTATTGGAGTATAATTGCTTTACAATGGTGTGTTACTTTCTGCTTTATAACAAAGTGAATCAGCTACATATATACATATATCCCCATATCTCCTCCCTCTTGCATCTCCCTCCCTCCCACCCTCCCTATCCCACCCCTCTAGGTGGTCACAAAGCACTGAGCTGATCTCCCTGTGTTATGCGGCTGCTTCCCACTAGCTATCTATTTTACATTTGGTAGCGTATATATGTCCGTGCCACTCTCTCACTTTGTCCCAGCTTACCCTTCCCCCTCCCCGTGTCCTCAAGTCCATTCTCTATGTCTGCGTCTTCATTCCTGTCCTGCCCCTAGGTTCTTCAGAACCATTTTTTTTTAGACTCCATATATATGTGTTTATTATTTTCAAATATATAAAGAAAATCAACTTAATGAAAAACTGAGCAACGGTTGGTTGTTTTTATTATAGCATGATATTTACGGTATCTTTTGAAGTCACATTTAATTAAATATTTTATTCATGTAATTAGATTATGCAATAGACGTGAAGAAAAGGTCTGCATGTCTAAGTTCTACAGAATTCCTAAAAGCATGTCATGAGGCCAAAAATGGCCAACAAATTGTAATAATTTCATAATCTTTATTAAAATAATTTATCAGAAGAAGATTAGGAGCTGGTCACTCTCAAACATTAAAATTCTGTATCAATGAAAGAAAAAAAATGACTGGAAGCTTTTGATGGCGCCATGTAACTCTCTTAGCTCTGCTGGTTAGCATTACTTCAGAGTAAAGGGATGTATTTATCATCTGAAGTACCACCAACAGAATGCCTGCCTGAGATCTAAAACAAAATAGGAAAAAGCAACTACTGGCATAATAAAGATGCTTTTGAGCTATAACCTGTTTCTGATTTTAATCTCAAACCTGTAAAATGGGCTCAATTCAATGAAACTCTAAAAATAAGGGCAATTTTTAAATATTATGTGATATACATTTTTAAAATAACTGAAATTAATGTTAAAAAAAAAAGAGGTCTAAAAAAAAGTAAGCTCATGTGTGACAGCTGGTAAGAAGCTACGTGGAGGTACAGATGGTAAAGATGTGTGAGAAGGAAAGACCACAAAAACGTGGTTGAATAAAAGTTAAGAGGACTGTAAACGGAAGACGAGCTGCTATAAAATCAACTGCAGAACCTGATAAGGAAGAACTCCAGAATATCCAGGAGAAGAAATTCACCACTGTCACCATAAAGCACATTTGCTAAACCACATGTTCTTGAGACTAACTAGGCCTGGACTACAGCAAATCAAAAAGAACGAAACGTTACAAAATTGGAGCTAAGCAAATTTTATCACTAAAACCTAACAGTTTAATGAATGAAGTCATCAAAATATTCATTTAACAGAAAACAAGGTTCAGTGATTTTCTCAAGGTTCCATTGGGAGAAGGGGTTTGCAAATAATAATAGACCTTATAAAGCCCTGGTTTCCTCAGCTAAGTTTAACCAGTAGGACTCCAGAACTCACTGTATTTTCAGTAGAATATCTGCAAATCAATTATTAACATTTTAATTCTAGAATAATGAAACTGCAACAGGGTCTCCCAATGACATTCAGAAAAACAGCCACCTTCACTCTACCTTGATAGGTACACCTAATTCAAGGTCCAAGGTGAGCAGAGTAAGGACTAAAAAAAATAATAAATGAGGGCATCATTTGCACTAAGTGCCCCTTAAAGCAGACTGTTATTTATAAAATAAATATGATAAATACTGATCATGTATTTATCTGGGAATTTTCTGTAGCCACAAAGTGACTTCGTTAACAGCAAGGAAACAAATAAGCATACAAGTACCTGTACATACCTAATGAACATGACAAATAATATCTAATATTTGTTGCACCCTTTCTCTGTGTTAAGGAAACACTTTTAATCCTCACCAATACCCTATTGAGGTGGGTACTTTTATTAACCTCACTTTACATGTGAGGAAACCTAGGTACATAATGGTTAAATAACTTGCCAAGGATCATAACGTTAATTATACAAATCCAGTCTTTCCTACAACTATGATCAAAATCATGTTTTCATAAGTATCATGTAATTCTACTACTGCTCTTTGCAAAGGTACCAAAATCCCTTTTAACATAACAAACCCCCCACACTTCCTTAAAATAATAATTTTTGTATAATTTATCTTGAAAATACTAGAGCCTTTTGAATTCTGAGAAATTTTTAAGCAATTAATTTTTAGCATAAAATTTAAAGCACACTAGCCTACTCTAAGAAGTTCATCTAATACTTCAATCTAGATGACAGTTTGTCTCTTCCCAATGAGAGGGGAACATCAGCACTTCCACTAACACTGCAGCATACTGTTTTAAACTGTGCAATAAAAGCTCATCTTGCTTTATGTCATTTCATGCATAAAAGTAGTCAACCCAAACTTCCCCATCCTTGGAAGGGAACAACATCACCCATAATCCTAAAACCACTTACAGTTGGCACTAGAATGCTTTAGAAATAAACAATGTGAATGTCATAAAGTAGAAAAACCCTGGACTAGAGTTCAGAGACCTGCCCACCAATCCTGGCTCATCGCTAGCTAGAATTTTAGTCCCTTCCACTGGTCTGGGTCTCGGTCTCCTGATCTGCAACATAATCATATCCATGGTCTACTCTTCCAGCTCTAAAAGAAATGTGACTCATACACATACATCTTTTTTCCAAGCTTCCCATTCTCATTCTGTTTAGTTATTACCACTACTTTGCAGGCATTAAGCGTTATTTTCCCTCAGTTCTACAATGGGAGAAAACAGCCCATTCTAAACAAAGGTGATAGGAGAAAGCCTTCCTGACCACTGGTTTGCCATAGATGAGTCTGAAGGTGCATAATGTAAAAGCTATTATAATGTTAAAAGGTGTTAGGTTTCAATATTTTAGGCTACTATTTTGTGTGCCAGTACATTCTCCCTAAAGACGGACAGTAAAATTCAAGGACAATAGGGAGAAAAAATTTAATTATCCATTATTTATTCAATAACTAAGAAGGTGCCAACTGAATATATTAACACCTTTTCGCAGATATTTTTCTCTGATGAATTACATTTTACAGCAAAGGGAAAATACAATCTACAAAATTTTCTCATACATGTTTAAGTGCTCCCTTTAAAAAAAAAGCTTTTATTCTGTAAATTGTGAGGAATTAGTAAGATAACATATATGATTAAGAAAAGATTAAAAAGCTAGCTGTGCAATTCTTAGCTTCCTCTTCTCAGTGACATGAAGAACCTCCGTGGGCTGCCACAGAGGTGGATTCTGTGGACCAACCCTGGTATGCATTTTCTATGTTCTCAACTCTCAAGAGCATTATGCAAATACACGATTATTAAAATTAAACTAAGCATCTGACATTAAGATTCCCAAATTTGCATACTGCTTTCTAGAGCTGCTAGCTTACCAACATCTTCCCAGTCCAACACTTTAAAAAGTTAAAATTGCATGACCTTGTAAAGAAACAATTAAAAGCAAGGGAAAGAAAGCATGTGAATTACTTATTAATCTTCTAGAATAAAAGCCAGTAGCAAACTGTAATAATACAGTCCAGTCTAAATGTTAAATTGGAAGTAAGCCACTGCTATGGATGGAGAGACCTGAAGAAAGGATCTTCAGCAGATGGAGAAGCTGCTACAAGAATTTCAAGGTGCAGTTTGCGAATTTCCAGCAAAACTAGTAACTGGTAAAACACCATCGAACGCATACATACCTTTTAAAATAAAAGATAACTGCCAAGGTCCACCTTTTGGTTGGAATGCCGAAAGAAAACGTCAGAAATCACCTCGTGACTCCAATACCCCGGCCTCTCAAAGTTCAGAACCAAGCAAGTTGTGTGCTTAAACTGCTTCTGAGCATCCTTTTTAAAATGCAACTCCCTCTCCAGAAAGTCATTTCGCTTCAGCTGCTTGAATCCCCAAATCCCAGCACCAAAGAATCTTAGGACCCCAAGTAGTTGCAGAGAGTCTTCCAGCGCCCGCCTGCGCATCCCTTTCCACCTCGGGTTAAACTCCGGAGGTGCTCCAGTCACTTCCCCCATCCAAGCTCCCCATCCAAGCTCCCCAGTTCCCTCTATCATCTCCGGATGAACCTCTCTTCTCGTCGACCTTGAGGACCCCCGGATCGGAGCCTTAGAGCCCCAAGTGACTTGGCGGGTGCCCCCTCCCCTGCAACGCGCGCAAATGCCCCACAGTCTCCGGTGACCTCCCCCCCGATTCACCACGACCCAGATCACGAACGCCCTCCGGCTAGCCCGGAGCGACCCCCTTCCTCTTAGGGGCCCTACGTTCCTCCAACCAGAAAAACAATTCAACGAAATGCATCAAGAGCCCACTGAGCGCAAGCTCCCACTACGCGCCGCACGGTCTGCACGGGGCTCGCGGCCCGGGTCCGCCGTCCCCCGCCCGTCGTCCTCTTCTCGGCCAGAGGGCCGGCGCTGCCTCCGCCCGGGGTGTGGAGGCGCCGGCCGGAGGCGGACTGCGCCGGGCGCGAGCACCGGGGGCCGAAGAGGCGGCCGCTAACGGCTGTGCGGGGGCCAGGGAGCACTCAAGGGCCGGGCCACCGGGGACACTCACCGGTCGGGGCGCGCGGGGCGGCCTCATCCAGGGGCACCTGCGGCCAAGCAGGACGGGCCCGGACGGCGCAGTCACCGAGAGGGCGAGTCCGCCCGCCCGCCGGTCCCGTCCCGTTCCCTCCGACTGCCCGAGCGGGCGCAGTCTCGCTTCCTCCGGACGGAGTCCGGGGACCCCCAGCTCCGCCGGATGCCCCCGCCAAGCCCCCACCCCTTTCCCCGGCCACCTCCCCCTCTTCACCCTTTTCCCCTCCCCCTCCCCCCAACCCCCACCGGAATGGAAAATACCTCCTGGGGCGGGGGGCGGCGGGGGCACGCCTCTCTGAAGGGCAGCCTACCGTGACCAATAGCAGACGGGGCTCTGGAGGGGCGGGATTCCTAACGGCCAATCCGAAGGCGTGTAGGTGAGGGCCGAAGGAGGGAGGCAGGGAGCAAGAGCGGGGAGGCCCGGGAGTCAGGGAGGTCCGGCCGCTCGGGTGCGCGCCGTGCGCGGCTGCCATTTTGGAGTCGGGCCGCTGCGACGGCGGCCGGGTCCGGCCCGGGGGAAAGGGAGGAGCCAGTCAGGTGGGAGAGAGGGGGTCACGTGGGCTTGAGAGGCGGGATAAGGCGGGCTGCGGCCGGAGGGGAGGGGTTGGCGGCGGCGAGTCACGGGGGCTGAAGAGGGTCACGTGGTCGGAGAAGGTCCAGAGGTGGGCTTGGGGGCGGAAGGTCAACCTTGAGGTGGGAGAAGCAGGAAAGCTTTGTCCCTGGTTTCAACTCTGTTAGGGAGAAGGAAAGGAAAAATGTTGAATGGAGGGCGTGAGTGCCCGGTCGGAAACTGTGAATGAGTCTCCCTAGCTCCCTCCAGCAAGGAGCCTCCCTGTTACTAAATTCCAAGATCCACGGGAACCAGGGCACTTCGTTTAATTCAAGCATTCCCATCCCCACTCCCAGCTGTCACAAACGTGACTCAATGATCAGATGGAGGAGTGTCTCCCACTTTTTGCTTGCACTTTGTATGGAAGGGCCCCCGCCCTAGAAATGGCTGAAAGAATAAAAGCGTAGTTGAGGCATTGTGCAGACGCCAGGACAGGCCATCTGGCCTTATAGAAGCCTTGTCGTCATTCACAAATTTACCTAACACTTCTGTGTTAGACATACCCCTGATCGTATTACAACGTCTCCAGACAGAACAAAACAAAGTTGACTATGAGACCCTGTCTAGTTCTCATCCTTATTTCAATTCATGCTTCCAGTACAGGCTAAATTATACTCCTTACTAACCCACTGAAAGTGCTTCTCTTAAGGCTACCAGTGACATCCATATGATCGAGTTCAAGGATCACTTTTTCGTTCTTATATGATCTCTTTTGCAGTTGATTCTATGGACTACATCCTTTTTCTCCTCCCCAACGTACCCCTCACCCCAGTTTACCTAAGACCATAAACCCTCAGATTGTATTTCTCTTCAGTTAACCTTTATAAATCGGTTCTGGGTTGGCTTTTTAAGAGAGTCCCAGGATCTGATCCTCAGTTGGTGCATAGTCATTCTACTGCACACTAGGTGGTCTAACCACTTTGGTGGCTGAGTGTACCTTTAATGAGATCCCCATCTGCATACCTAAGTGCTTTTGGATATCTCCACTTGAATCTAATCTTGACATATCCAAATCAGAGCTCAAATACCTACTAAGAAGACCGCAAACCTGCTCCTTCCCATCTGTTCTTTATCTTCTTTGATGACATTACCATTCATTCACTTAAGCACACCAGAATCTGCGAGCAGTCCTCCAGGCTACTCCCTCACAGCTGCAACACTTCCCTACCCCTTTGAACTTCATCATGCTGATTATATTTACTAAATGCCCTTTTGTCTCAATTTCTACAGCCACTGCCTCACCTGGGCCATTTATTCATTAGCCCAGTATTTACTAAGCATTTTACAATGTGCCAGGCATTTTTTGAGGTGCTCAGGATATAGTGGTAAACAAAAGGGACAAAGTTCCTGAGTAGGGTGAGACAAAGCATATATGAGTAAAGTAGCAAATAAATAATTCAGGGGTGATACCCCAGTGCTCATAGCAGCACTATTTACAATAGCCAGGACATGAAAGCAACCTAAATGTCCATCAACAGAGGAATGGATAAAGAAAATGTGGTACTATATACAACGGAATATTACTCAGCCATAAAGAGGAACGAAATTGGGTCATTTGTAGAGACGTGGATGGACCTAGAGAATGTCGTACAGAGTGAAGTCAGAGAAAAACAAATATCATATATTAACGCATATTTGTGGAATCTAGAAAAATGGTACAGATGATCTTATTTGCAAAGCAGAAATAAAGACACAGATGTAGAGAACAAATGTATGGATACCAAGGGGGTAAGGGGGTGGTGGTGGGAGGAATCGGGAGATTGGGATTGACACATACCCATTATTGATATTATATATAAAATAGATAACTAATGAGAACATACTGTATAGCACAGGGAACTCTACTTAGTGCACTGTGGTGACCTAAATGGGAAGGAAATCCAAAAAAGAGGTGATATATGTATATGTATAGCTGATTCACTTTGCTGTACAGAAGAAACTAACACAACATTGTAAAGCAACCTATACTTCAATAAAAATTTAAAAAATAAAATAAGCTATATTTCTTAAGGAAAAAAATAATTCAGGGGTGATATGTGCTGTAAAGATCTCCCCCCACCCCAGAAAAACAGGGAAACCGGCAAGAACCTCCCGAAGTTGTTGCCCAGCTCTTCACCTCAATCTCCCCCACCCCGCTCCCCCATGCCCCTCAGCCTCCCCACCCTGCTCAACACCTTTTCATCCTTTCCTCTTATTCTTGAAGAAAAGATAGCCCTGATCCTTTCAACTGGAGTGATTTTCTTTCCTTTCATCTGCCAGGACTTCCCTCTATCTTTATGTTACAGCTGCCTTAATACAAATCCCCCGACTAGGAGATAAGCTACTTTGAGGGCAGGGATCACACCTTATACATTTTTATGCCTCCACAGGGCCTTGGCTCAGAATAGGTGCTCACAAAATGCATGTTGAAATGAACTGGTGAATCCCCTGACCCCTGAATCAGGCTGCCACAGAAGCATCTCCAGCTCAATCAGAGTGGAAGGTCAGTGAGCTCATCTATTAGAGTGTAGAGGCAGTTATGCCTCATGGCAGGGGGCAGGGTAATAATGAAGGAGATTACCTCTGTTGGTCCCTTCCAGGCCTGGGATTCCATGATGCTGTGCCCCATGTCGCGCAGGAGTTGCATCATAAGCACTACTTTACTTGACAGTGCCTAGTACATGTGGGCAATTTAAAAGTATTCTTTGTTTCTGATGACGAGCTTCAAACCCAGAGCACTCTGGGTGAATTGCCAGGAGAGGCTCTGCAGGAGAAGGATTGCAGTTGCCACTTGACTCTATTTCCAGGCCCTTGGGTATTGCACCCCAACAGGGAGTGAGATGATGCCAGTTCCGTCATAGTCATTGTAATTAAACCCAAGTTCTGGCAAAGGGCGGTGCGTAATTATGAAGTATTATTATGGTTTTTATCATTATTAGGCACCCAGCTGCCCAGCCCAGAAAACCACAGTAGTAAAACACAGAGAAGCCAAGCTCCTCTCCCAGCTGGCATGAATCAATACCAGGTGTATTGGCACACAGTCCTGCAGCTCTGCTCATCAAAATGAGACCTTCTGTCCCCTCTTTTTGGCAAGATAAAATTTTAAATGAATGAAAAGAGGAAATGTAAAGAAAGACCTTGCCACCACCTCTAAATGGAGTTCCTTTTTTCCATGTCCCCTGAATGATCTCTTCTCATCTACGTATTTATTGTGTAAATCTTTTTCAACTTTATCCTTGACCTGCCAGCTTTCTAAACATCATTCTACAATGTCTCCAGAGGATGTATTAGTTAGGGTGGGAGTACAGAGTGCAGAAAAGAGTGCTTTTACTTTCAAGAAACTTATAATACAGACTAAATAATTCAGCAAATATAGTCAGGCTTGACAAGGCATCTGCCTTTTATTGAGCGCCTACTCAATGCCATACTTGGCATTTTCACATATGCTAACTGACTTGATCCACACCACCCTGCAAGGTGGGTTTTATTATCCTTATTTTCTTCAAGGTCTCAAAGACTTAGTGACAGAACTGAGATTCTAACATAAATATGCAAATTTGGTGACTGTATACTCATGGTAGATGTGTCCACACTGGGAGATGAATATAGGTATCAGATACCACCTCCTTCTGTCAAATTAAAAATGGTTTTTTGAACAAAATAGATTTTAAGCTGAGCATTGAAAGGACAATTCAGAAGTGATGCTGAGGGAATGGTGCCAAACAAGGAGGCCAAATTGGCCATAAGCCTAAAATCAATCAATAAGGAGAAAGATTTCTTGTTCAGCGATGAGTCATATTATATTCTTCAAGTACCTTTATTATCTCAGTTCTTCCAAATGAGGAAGTCAACCCAGGTGGTACAAGGGTGGGCTGAGGATGGAGGAGGGTGGTTTGGGGAGGGAATAAGTTTTCGAATGGAGAACTCCCAAATGGCCCATAAACTGGCACATTGGGCACTGGCTTCTGAAACAACTGGAACCATGGCAGCTTTCTCTGCTGCTTATCAGTTGTTTTTAACTGATGTATGTAGAACAATTTCTCATTCTCTTATTTTTTCTAAAACAATTGATTAACACATTTTTAAAAACTATTTAGCACTATGTTGTACAAGGCAGTTCACTTCTATTTTTAGTGGGTTTTTTTTCAAGGAGTTTAAGATTCAATAAAATGAACCTGTTTAAAGTGTACAGTTTGATCTGTTTTGAGACACGTATACCCTTGTAACCACTACTGTAATCATGAAATAGAAAATTTACATCACCCCCCCAAAATTTCCCTTGTGCTCTTTTTGCAGTTGGAATTTTAATACAACTTATATTTTGGTTACTCTAAATCTAGATTGCCAGCTTCAACCTTGCTTTCAGATTCTAGGCCCATAC